TATATTATCAGTGGCCGATTGCAGTAATGTTTTAAATGTCCACTTAATTATTTTTAATCCCAAGAGGAATCCAACTTCTCTGATTTGCTTGGAAAAATTCCTCCAAAAACCTTATCAATTATCTGGTGAGTTGAAAAGTCATCTAACCAATTTAAAAAAAAAATTCTTGCTTCAAATTCCTACTTTCTCCTCAATAGTGGATTACTTCTGTCTGAACTATCTGGCTAATTAGTTCTGCACTTTCATTTGCCTGTGTGGACGGAGGTTGAATGTGGCAATTCGACTCAACTCCCAGAGGTAGGGAGGTGTTGGGAGTTGGAGTTTCTCAGAATGGCATTTTAGTTATAGTACACTGGAGTTTCTCAGAATGACATTGTAGTTCAGTGAATGAATATAGAATTAGACTGACTTGCACATTCAAACAATTTTTGATTATTTAGGGAAATAAAGGTAAAGTCTGGCATTCATTACCTTAAACCACAAACATTTGACAGAGAATCAAATTAGGCACCAACTCAACTGTTATGAATATTTCCATTTAAAAGGAGAGTTGCATTGAATATATTTGTGCATCAGCTCTGACACTTCTGTAAATAATTTTAACATCTCAAAGCCCAAATGAAAGTATTATAATTGCTGAGAAATAGAAATATCAACAGCAAACATAAGAGAATCCTTTTATTATTCCTAGTAGTAGAGAAATAGGTCTAAACATTTCAAAGTGTTGGCAAGACTGATGCAAGACTGTAAATCAACATGTGAAAGCAGTGACTACAAATTCCTTTCTTCCTGCTACCTTTGCTCAACCCAATATAAATTCAAATTATAAAACAGTACATTAGTTAAAGGACTATTAACAAAGTTGAGAGGCAAGGGACTGAGCCAAGGAATAAACTAGATAATTTATTTCTGAATTAATAGGAATCATTCAAAAAGTTTTTGGGAAAAATCATAAAGCACAGAAGAAAAAAAATACCCAAATCCTTAAATAGCCATTTTTTTAACCCCAAGCTAGCCTATAATTTTCCCCATAAAATTCAATGAAGTACAGAAATATCTTCAAAACCTTTAATAATTCTATAAATGCAGGATTAAAATCATTCATAAAGCAGTAGAATTCTTTTTCAAGGCTAGCCACTTATACCAACAAAAACCACATAAAAGGTATAGTTGTTGTTTTGTTCTTCAATGGCCTTACTATGCTTGGCATGCATTTTATAGAGGGCCATAACAATATTGTATGGTGTAGATATTAGAATGATGCAAGTAATATTCAAATTTAGACATCAGAAAATAAAAAATTGTAAATCACCATAGACCTTTGGTGTGAAAACAGCTGCAGAACCATCTAGTAAAATGAAAGGCTCATACCACTCAACAATAAAGTTAATCTCAACTCAAACCAGCCAAGCTACATTAAATAAATGCCTGCTAGACTGCACATTTAGCTGGAGGCTATGAACATCAAGTTTTTTTTTCAGCATAAAATCTGAACAGTATATCCTGACACCCCACCTCATCCCCACATTAACCACAGAAAAAACTCAAAGACATTATACATAGTCTGTTGGTTGGCGATACCTGGAAAATTCTCTACACTTTTAGGTATAAGCAAACAAATAAACTAAATAAGGATTACATATTTTATAAAAAAAATCTCTAACAAAAAAGAAAGAAAAAAATTGGTCTAATGAGATGAAGGAAATCAAACCTATAAAAGTGATTTAAAAATAAACTAAATGAAAATTAAGACTATATCTCTTTTAGAATGCATCTACTTTGTATTCTCAGCAAAATATAAGAAAACATAAACTTTATCAAGCAAGGTAAGATGAAAGAGAGCTTTATTAAAATATAAAGTATAAAGCAAACCAGCTGCATTAGGAATGAAGACTGTGGTGTCATTTCAGTTCTCCTTCACTTCTATTATTCACATTAAAAATAAATAAAAAGATGAAAACAATAGTCTCCATTATTATGAAATCAGAACACAGTCACAAGCCCAGACCTCAAGTTATAAAAAGTACCTGCCAAATACATTGACTTGAGGATGAAATTAAAGACAGACCCTGAGAGTCTGCACAAAATTCTACAGTTCTCTTACAAAATGCAATTTCTTAAAGGCTCTCGATGCTAAGTAAAAAAAGGCCTGACCAGCTGTCCCTTAGAACAGTTCGATCTGATGTTGTGGGCAATATGCAACTGGGTCCTAAAAATGCTTTTTCACAGCATAGAGCATGATGTGAAGGCAGCCCAAGAGCAAAGCCTGCAGATGACCATCTTTGGAGGAAGCAGGAGAGAATGTCAGCGTAAAGGAGCAATCAACTTGAATGCAACTAATGCAGATGAAAGAAATATTAATATATGCTAAATATGACTTACAGTGCATTAAAATTATAAGGTTGCATTATAAATCATATTAACCTTCTAATCACTCTAAACAGGAGTAGAAACTTACCCAATAAGACAGGGGTGATACAAAATATTTTAAAAGAGTAGAGCTCATGTACTAACTAATCAGAGAAAATACTGGTCAATCAGAATCAAGGAAAACACAAGAGATTTAATATTTCATATATATATATATATATACACACACACATACATACATATACATGAACTGTGGGGACAAAATTATTCCTGTGTGCCAATGGTATGATTCCATGCATAGAAACCCCCAAAGAATCAACCCGAAAAATAAGTAGAGCATAACAATAATTTAGCAAGGTGGTATACACAAAAATCAATAATTTTTCCATACACAAATGAGTTAGACAAAATAAAGAAAGAAAAAATTATATTTTAATAAATAACAAGAAATACATATGATTTATTTGGAAAAAAATAATTTATACTTTAAGAGGACCTAAAAGAGTTAAGAAGCTGGAAAGATAAAAATCTGTTGTTAAATAGATGGATTAATACTGTACGGATTAAGTCTCCTGTAAATTAGCTTATAAATCAAATATAGTTTCAATAGAAATAACAGCAGGATTTTTTGGGGGAGAGTGGTTCTATAAGAGCAGTCATGAAAATTTGGGAGGGAAGGTTACTAAGTAGGGTATTCATACTAGATAATAAAGCATATTTTAAAGCAACAGAAATTAAAACTGATACTTTTCCAGTAATATATAGCAGATCAATTGAAGAGAACAGAGAATTTAGAAATAGGAATAAATAAATAGTCAATGTTAGTTTATAATTGATGAAATGTTTTAAATCAAGAGTGTAGGAGTGAACTGATTATTTAATAAATGATTTTATAATGTCCAGCTTACCATTATAAAAGGATAAATCTACATGTATATCCAATGCTTTATACTAAGTTTCAGTTAGATTCAAGTTATGTAAGTAAAAAATGGCACCGTAAAAGTATTAGAACAAAATAGTCATTTAAAAAAATCTTAAATACAGCTTCTTTAAGTAGTTATGAAACTTAGAAAACATTAAAAATTATTACATTTTTTCACGAAAATATTTTTAGTTGTCCAATTAATTTCTTTCTATTTTTAGTAGAGACGGGGTCTCGCTCTTGCTCAGGCTGGTTTCAAACTCCTGACCTCGAGCAATCCGCCTGTCTTGGCCTCCCAGAGTGTTAGGATTACAGGCGTGAGCCACCACGCCCGGCCATACCTGGAGAATTTTGAATAGAAAAGGATGAAATTCAAGAATTCTGTGGTCTGTCAAGATTTTTTAGCTACAAAGGCAATGAAAAAACATTCCCAAATAAAAGGCTCAGAAAATATATTACTATGCTCCAGAAAAACTTACTCAAAAAACATGGTTCTGATAATTATGCAGTAAAAATCAAAGGAGAGCAAAATAGAATATAAAGGACTGAAATAATTACTAATTTTGCAAAATCAGAATTTGGTTTCCAAATACATTAAACATAAATTAAATGTAAAGTAAATTATATTGAAAATTTCATATATCATGTTAGAAATAGTAATTTAATGGTAGTTATAATTTCATTAGTAGAAATTAATAATAATTTCATGATAATCTAAACCTCTTACTTCAGAATATGTATATCGGCATCGTATGAATGTGTTAGCAGCGGTCCCCAACCTTTTTGGTACCAAGGACCGGTTTGATGGAAGACAATTTTTCCACAAGGGGTTGGGGCTGGAGCTCAGGTGGTGATGCATGTGGTCTGGGTTCCTATGAGGCCACAGCCTGGGAGTTAGGGACCGCAGTGTTATGGAAATAGAAGAAAACCAACCACGTTCATGAGTTTATGTAAGGGAAATTGTCTAATATCACTTGTTTGATATTTTTAAAATTAATGTTCATACCTAAGATTATAAAGTAGGAAGGAAAAAATATGATCACAATGTCTTTTCATATCTGTTGACATTCAAAAATAAATGAATAAGGCCGGGCGCGGTGGCTCATGCCTGTAATGCTAGCACTCTGGGAGGCTGAGGCAGGAGGATCGCTCGAGGTCAGGAGTTCGAAACCAGCCTGAGCAAGAGTGAGACCCCGTCTCTACTAAAAATAGAAAGAAATTAATTGGCCAACTAACATATATAGAAAAAATTAGCCAGGCGTGGTGGTGCATGCCTGTAGTCCCAGCTACTCAGGAGGCTGAGGCAGGAGGATCGCTTGAGCCCAGGAGATTGAGGTTGCTGTGAGCTAGGCTGATGCCACGGCACTCACTCTAGCCTGGACAACAGAGTGAGACTCTGTCTCAAAAAAAAAATAAATAAATGAATAAAATAATATTGATACATGCATAAGGTTTAAATTTTCAGACAACACAGACAGGTATAAAATGCAAAATAAAGCTTATTCCCTGCCCTAGGCCTTTATTCTATTGGTAACAATTGTTAAACAGTTTCTTGTGTATCTCTTTCAAAGGGGAAAATATACTCTCAAATACATGCGCATGCGCACACACACACACACACACACACACACACACACACACACAAGCTCTTTTAAAAAGTGCTTACACTAAAGAAATCATAGTATCATAAAGAATTATCTACCTTGGTACAATCAGATTGTGCTATTCGAATGTTGTTTCTCCTTACCCAGCATCCTTCATTCTTTTGGTAGCATATTTGTTTTTCTCAGTGACAAAATAATTCCATGTGGGGAGATGGCCTCGCCTTCCTCCATACTGTAGGAATGAACATAAGACACACAAAAAGCAACAACTTCTCTCCATGATGTTTAAGACTGCTGAAAGAGTGAAGGAATCTCTCCCTTTATCTGAGATCAATTATGAATAAAACCCTAGAGACTTGGATCATCTTTTCTGGCATTTGTCAAGACCGTTCCCATATTATTTAGAGCAGGCTAACTGCTGTAGCATAGCAAATAGGTCCAAAAATAAATAATATTAAGAGCTCAAGCACAGTGCAAGTTTATTTGTTGCTCACATAAAGATTGAAGGTCATTCCAGTGTGGAAAGGGGTATAGGGAACAGTCTGGTCCAAACAGCAATTCAGACACTGGGGTTGTCAGAGGCACTGCCGTATTCAACACGTGGCTTTCAGGAATGCCTAAACAGGGAGGATGGTGTGTAGACGATGTTGAGGGCGGGAGAGGGATAGGCCCGGAAGTGGCTCGCGTTACTTCTACTCACCCTCTATTGACTAGAATGCATTCACAAGGCCACACAAACTGCAAGGAAGACTGAGAAACGTAGTCCAGCCATGCAACCAGAAGAAGAGGAAATGGGTTTTGGTGAGCTGCTAGCAGTTTCTGCATAGTCTACTTTCCATTCAGGTTATAAAATGTATAATTGCCCAAAGTTTCTCACATTCCCGCTTGGATCTCTTTCCCCTAAGGAGAAAACCTAAATCCCATATGAGCATTGTACCCAGAAATGCCCATCTAGGATTCCTGGGTGATGGACAGACCTTTCCATCAGGTCCAGATGGGGTTCATCAGGGTCAAGAAACCCCTAACCCCAACCCAATATTTAATGATAAAGCAAGGATAAGATATTGATAATTATAAAATAAGAGTGTAGCTGGAATTGTGTACTTATGTTGATGAAGCTTGGCTTTGCTTTACCTTCTCTAAATTTGTTAAATGCCCTATGTCTCCTTAGTTGGGATATATTCCCTCACACCCACCCAGGAAGGTTATCCTTGAGTTTTAAATCATTTCCTCAGTGTAATTTAGAGGCCCAAAGCCAAAAACTCACTGTTTCAAAATTTTTTAAATGAGTAATATTAAATACTTATTTATTTTGGCTTATAGATTAGGGGCTTATGCTGTGTACCTCCTGGGAGACCTTAAGACAACTTTCCCTACTTTTCTTTTTCTCTCAGATTTCTTTGCCTCATATATTTTTACCTCTTGATTGGAGTACTGCTGTGTCTCTTTTCAGAGGAGGGTAATATCTGTGTGGTTATGAATATTGGACCTTAATGCTTCCTTTCCCCCTGGTCAAGAGAAATCAGTATGGATAAATCTTAATTTTTTCTTTCTTTTACTAAGATTTTTTATTGATAAATAATGGTTTCTATTTATTACTATCTACTCACTCCCTCATACCCCTTCTCTCAAAGTTAGGGCATTACCAACAAGATTTCTATGGATTTTAAACACATATTTTTTCCATAGTGTTACTGGCCTCCAAGTGGAGGTATTTTCAAGTTCTTGGTAATTGTCAGAGGAAAAATATTCAGAACACACCACATAAGCCAAGCAAGCTGCTTTTATTAAAAATGAAAGTGAAAGTACACTCTCTCAAGAGAGAGGGAGCAGGCAGGCTCAAAAAGGGCAGAATAATAGAATAAATTCTGAATAATAGAATAATAACAAGAATTACCTCACAGGATTGTTGTAAGGATTAAATAAGTTGATATTTGCAAAGCAATTTAAAAAGTTCCTGGCACTTGGGAAGCTACATAAGTGTTTGTTAAATAAATAAGATTAAAGAGCTCAATTCAAGTTACTTTTTAGTGAATCTTAAGGCTAACTATTAATATCAATAGAATTATCATCTGGGTATTATAGCTTCCTGAATCACTGAAACATTTACAAAGTGATCAGTATAGATACAAAGAAAACCTTGATAAATTAGAAAAGTCTGAATGTATAGTTCATAATCGCTGGTTTAAACACAAAACATTTAATACTTAGATATTTAAAAACGCATCCCTATGTAGCTATTAAATCAAAGAGGATAAAAATGTACAGATGATTTATTCAATAATGAAAATGATCATATATCAGAACTTTTTTAATGTAGACAAGTACATATAAATTTTACCCTCAAAGACTCTCATTAATGCTGCTAGTTTCTTACCCAGAAATCCCTCTTTCTTCCTAAGAGAATCCCAAATTTGACTGTTAATCTAGCCCTTCATGACTGAAGTGACTGTTAATCTAGCCCTTCATGACTGAAGTGACTGTTAATCTAGCCCTTCATGACTTCATGACTCAAGTTGCTCTATGGCCAGCAGGAGGCATAGATCCTGACAGTCAAATTGAATCAGTTATAACATTCCCTACAAACTGTTATTGACACAGGCATGATCCCGTGACTTGTCTTAGCCTAATCAGATGAAAGAAAAGGACGTGGCAGAGGAGCTTGCTTTCCTTCTCTGAAAATGAACAAGAAAGTATATAAGCTGACTACCACATGGCCCTGCCTTGTGATCATGACGTTAAGCTGTCTCAAAAAGGACCTGATATTAAGGAAGACAGAGAAGAAAGATAGACAGTACTAGGGTTCTTAACAATGTCTTCAACTACCCATCTATAACACCTAGCCTACCTCTGGACTTAACAAGGCTGAGAGATTGATACCTTTGTTGTTAAACACCTAGGAGTCAGCATTTATGCAACTTGCAATCAAAAGCAACCTAATTGGTACAACTTCAAAAAAATTGAATAAATTTAAGATAAATAAAAATTAAATTAAATAACAATAAGAATAAAACAAATCTCACATAAAGATAATAAAAATAAATGCATGAATTAGAGAAAGCAAACACCAAACTACAAATGAATTAAGAAATCATATAGGTAATTTCAATCAAGAATAGTCAATAAATTAAGAAGTTCAAAAAGGGTTTTGTCATCAAATGACACAGCAGAATTTAAAATGTATTAATTATCAGGCAATATATTGCATAATTTTATAACAATAAGTTTGAAAATATTCAGTACATAGAAACATTTTAGAGAACATAAAATATCCAAGTTGAACAAGGAAAAATTAAAAACCTTGAGGAGGGTAATAAAACTTTGAAGATGTTATAAAATTAATTAAATAAATAATTTATTACATAAGATTTTTATTATGATCTCTGAGACACATCTGTGTCAGTTCCACAATATTCAATCCCCACAGAGCAATGCAAAGGTGTTCACATGGCAGTGGGTTGAGTTAGAGGAAAAGAATCTGAGCTTCAGGAGCCTTAATCTTTTATAGTGGGCAGTAAGATCCTCTTTCCTATATTCCAAATAGAGATATTATTTATATTTTCCCTGTTTGCTATACAAACATCCTTTAAAAGATAGTCCTGAAACAAAAGCAGTCAGTGTATCTGCTTACAAGATGTGCAGAAACCAAAAGATCCATGCAAAATTGTTTCTCAACATTTGTAACTCCTCTACACCAAATAAAATTAAACCGGTGGGTCAATAAGACTTGGAAAATTTCAATAACTACAGCACACAAAAAGCTGATAAATATCCTTATTATATGAATAATTCTTAGACATCAGTATTAAGGCTGGGCACAGTGGCTAATGCATGTAATCCTAGCACTTTGAGAGGTGGAGGTGGGAGGATCGCTTGAGTCCAGAAGTTCAAGACCAGCCTGGCAACACAGTGAGACCCCATCTCTACAAAAAATTTAAAAACTAGCTGGGCTTGGTGGTGCATGCTTGTAATGACAGCTATTGGGGAGAATGAAGCAGAGGTTGGAGTCAGCAATGAGCTGTGGTGACCCCACTGCACTCTAACCCAGGCAACAGAGCAAGACCCTGTCTCAAAAAAAAAAAAAAAAAAAAAAAAAAAAAGCACAAGACCATAGAAAGAAAAAAACTGGCAAAGGGCACAAATGGAGAACAATTCACAGAAATGAAAGTAAAATTGGCTAAATAACAAATGTTTAAGTGCCAAACTTTGCTAGTTTGCTCAGAACTGAGAGTAGAAACAAAAATAAAATAGCATTTCTCAGCAATCAATTTGTCTAAGTTAAATTTTGCAATAGTTCTAAATGTTTGTGACAGTGTGGGAAATGAGCATTCTCATATAGTGCTTCTGAAAATATAAACTTGTGCACACTTTTTAAAGAAATATTTAATTTTTTATCAAGAGTTTTTAAAATATTCATACAATATGACCCAGTAATTCCACTCATAGTAATAGATACTAAGGAAATAATTACAGATAAAGGCAAACTTTTATGCCAATGGAGAATTGTTAAAGAATTCTTATTAGCAAAAAGAAAAAATAATTGAAATAGCTTTATTATCCAATAATAAGAGAATGGTTAATTTTTTTTCTCAAATTCATAAGATGAAATGTCATGTAGCTAATTAAAAATATACTTTCAAAGATGATTTCATAACATGGAGAAAGATATAATGGTATCCCTATTACATGATCTCAATTATTAAACCATTTTAAAGCCTGTAAGGAAATAAAGCTAAATATCAAACATCTCTTAGTTTTATGGTTATTGTTTCTTTTATTTTATTCCTTTATACTTTACTATATTTCTCAAACTTTCTATACTTTATAACAAAAATATTAAAACATAAAAATAAATGAATACCAGGTATTTTTTAGTTTCCTCTCATTTAAAAAAGTTATCATTACTTCATGGATGCACAGTGTGTAATTCTGGGGAAATAAGTGAAATAAGGTAATCAGCTGATCTGTGGATAGACTGTGTTATTCCTAGTGCCCAAAGGACATCCGTGTGCTCAGTTTACACTTGTGCTATGGAGAAAAGGGGAGGGAAAGAAAACGCAGCATGAGAACAGTGTGAGGCATGTTCAAATCCCTTGCTCACAGCAGGGAAAAACAATTCTTTCCTCTCCTGTTTCCAGGGACCTGATGGTGATGATCACAGTGTTGGAAAAAAAGTCCAAAATTGCCTTCACCGTGGCTTCCCGGTATTATTTTCACATTTGCAAATACCTAGTGCAAAAGACCCTCTGAGAAACCTCAAGGCTGTGTACTATCCTGGTTCTCTTGGTCTAAAAAGTCTTCAAATAGACATCTGCTTATTTTATGAGACGGACAGGGTCATAACAAGAGTCAAGGACCCCTACAACGATCCTAAGCCCTAAGAATGATTGGATCATTAATTTCTAGGGATATTACCACACTCTCTAAAATAATTCTCTGCGATTTTAAACCCCTGTCGATTGGGAGAACTCTTTTGTAAACACATATCCCTTCTTTGCAAAGAAAAATAATTTGCATATTATTCTCCCCTGATCACTTGTTTATTGCTTCTCTCAACATCAATCAGGAAAGCTTTCGGCAGAGGTGCTGAGAACAAAGATGAAAATAGGTGAATTTAAATGTTTGTTTATAAAGATGTCTGAAGGGATTAATTTTTTATCTGGCCATTCAAATAGGATTAAAGGGATTAACTTGAATAATAAAGGCACATTATAAATACACATGTTGTCTCTAATTAATAGGTTCAGATATGAATATAAGATATGTCAAATTATTACAGGATAGTCTGTAATTACATTATTTCTAAATAATGGAAAGGAAACTCATGAGTCATTAGTAAAAAGATGACTTTGGAACAAGGTAAACTCATTCAGCAAATATAATGTTTCACAAGACACATTTCCTATTTATATGTACAGTTAATAACATCTATTATGCAGTCTTAGTCCTAGAAGCCTGTGTTTGTTGAGAGAAATACTTTAAAACAGAAGCTTAATTACATAGTGTTCAAGTTTCTCTGGCAACATCAAAAGGGAGAAAGTCATTTGTGCTTTAATGAACATTTTGAAAGAGAAAAATAAGTTCTCAAGTTGAGAATTCTACAGGTTTAAGACAGGGAAAATGTAGGAGGAAGAGAATATTAGATTATAATTTATTTTTCCAGTATATGACAACCAAAGCTGTTAGGGGGAAAACTGTTTTTCTTCTACATATGAATAATAATACAAGAGTATAGCCTTTTGATTTTCACCACAAATTTTTGCCCCCTGAGAATTATGCAGGCACATTACAAATAGAAATGTTTCTTTTCAAAGGAAAGGGTACGCTTCAGTTCTCTTTACTCAGATTTCTCTCTAAATGCTACAACTACCACACTTTGAGGAAAATTACTAAAGTAATTTAATGCCCCATTCCAAGGAGCCAGTAGATGACAATAGTTTTTGTAAAATGGTTTTAACCTAACTCATGATTCTGACCCCAAAAAAATCCACACACTCGTCTTATAAAGGATGATCAATTTGTACATGCAGTCAGTAGGAGATATAAATGTGGTATTGTCCAATCTAACTTCGAGTTCATAGAACTGGACAATAGATTCTTTCCTCTGGTCCAAAGCATTTTATAAGGTAGAGAGATGTTAGACACCATTAAACACCCCCCATTTCATAAAATAGGTACAAAGATGCTGAGAGCTCTTATGAGACAGTTCTAAATCCCCTGCCTCTGGATCCACCAGTGCTCCACTTACTAGTATACTTATCTAACAAAGAAAATCAACAAAGTTTTGAAAGGAGGAATATTTATCTTAAGGACTATTTGATGGAACTTACAAGAAATGTGTTCAAGGCCATGCTTAGGCAAATCCAAGAACAAATCAAAATTGGTCTTTGGTTCCTGTTTCCTCCCCCTGAGGGGTCTTCTTCCCCTTTGTGTTGTCCCTTTTCCCAGTGAGAAACCCCTATCTCAAGCCACTGATTCTCACACCCCACCCACATCCATCATTTTCACTATCATTACAAAGTAAATTAATTTGCACAGTACTGTTAATAATCAACCACATTTGACTTTAGTAAAGAGTATTCTCTTTTCAAACTTGAAACCTTGAAGGCACAATGTCGTATCTCAAAGGAACGAATCCTTCTTTTTTTCCTTCCTTCTTTTCTCTTTTTCCTGTCTGTTTTTAACCAAGGATGAGATCAAACAATCAAAATAGTCAACTAACTTCTGTCACATATCAAACATTTCTATCATAAACACAATAAAATGTGCAAGAAAACCAGATGACTATTTTTTGCTTCTTTAGTTTAATGTAGAATAATACTCAACAATATCATCAGTTACTTTGAAGCAATTACACTTAGGAGAATGTTCTACAAACCAATCATCAATACTTGCTCCCAAATCTCCAGGATGCTGAAATCACCAGCAACTCTCTATGCCTCAAACATCAAAACACCTAGAATAAAATGGGAATGATAGACCCATTTTCTTCCTTTCTTTCACTATTTTGCCTAATTCTTATAACCCCTTTAGCATATGATGATTTACCTATTTCCCCTAAAGTGGTGACAACTCTGCCCTCCCAGGACGTGGCTTTTTAAGTCACTGATTAAGAAAGAATCCTTGAGGAGATGGAACATGAATGTTAGTCATTGATGTCTGGGTTCCTCGTACTGTTTTTATACATGACACCATACTTGAAGACCCCAAATATACCTCAGTTGTCACAGCAGAAATCAAAAGGAAAACTAGGTCATCATTTAACACTATGGCATTCTATATTGAATTTCACATCTTGGGCTCTCATGGTTGCCTTATTTAAAGCCCTTCTCTTTGCCAACACTTCTTTTGAACTGTAAGAGATGCATCCATCATGATATGAGATTGGATCTGTAGCTCGAGGTACTGGAATAATAATCAGAGGTGTATATATAAACTGAAAGCCTCTGCATTTCTCCAAACCTTCCTCTGTCATAAGAATGCTAAAATAATGCTAATGCAAGAAAAGATATTCCAGTGTCATTTTAGATTTCAGACATTGCACATTTGTACCCATGATTATGTCAAAATATACACATAGGCATCATTTGAGAAAGAATTTATTATAAAAGAAAATATATATTAAAAAAAGCTAGCCTGACCTTGCGTTATTTTTTTTTTTTAAATCAATGCTTGAACTAGGGTTGAATAAATTTGTCCAGCTTAACACGAAATCGTGTTGGTCTGAATATAGAAAATAAAACTGGCAAGGCTATTCATGTGGAGTGAAAAGAAGAGAACATAAAAGAAACATAAAACATCTCCCTTCTGGCATAAAAAAGTGCATGTTTTTTTTTAAATAAAAAGAAAGCTACTTTTAAATAATATTATGTTTGATATAAAAAATAAAGAAAGGCTCAGAAGCAAGGATATTCACACTTAATGCTAGGATTATCTACCCAGGGGAAAACAGAGAAAAATGTAAGAATGCTGTTATTTGTAGGTTTGGGGTTTTTGTTTCTGTTTTTCATTCTTTAGGTCTGGGGGGCTGTCAGACACATTTAGACAGGAATGCAAGAGACAAGAATTAATGAATGTTTATCCTTTCAGGTTTTCAGAACCTTGTGAAGTGTATTCACTTCTCTTATACCTAGACTTGTGTATCTAAACAAATAAAATTACTTTTTTAAGAGATTCATCAAATCATTTATTCTAAATGAGAATTCAGGTTATTCCAATTTGTCTTCCTGGACCCAGAGGAGGAATAGGACTAAGGTAGCACTTCTATTTAGATTGTTCTTTGCTTTTGAAATGTAGTTTTCTATGGATTCAGGGTTCTCAGTTGCTTTCCACCAAGACCAAAAGAGGTGGGCACAAAATTGATTCTCCTTTGCTATTTTTTGTTACTTTTTAGATCTGTTGCTTACCATCCTTAACAGACGCTCTTTGGATCAGACTGCTAGAGGTGTGGCATAAAGCTATGTGGAGTAAGGAAGCTCAGAAATAGCTAAGAAATTATTTATAAAAACTCACTAATTTCAAGAAAGGATTTCTAGTTATTTAATTCATCACTTTTCTTTAGAGCGTACGTGGTGAAACGTTATGGTAAAGACAGAACACTCACAACCTTGAAGATCTCATTTATTTCCAAATAGTCCTTTAAGGCACGAATCTGAGATTTAAAGGCTCAAAATCTGTAAACTGGACGTTTACCAGAAAAAAATAGAGTTGAAACTAAAGGAAAATTCTCAGTCTAAATTTTCCCACATCAGGCCCTCTTTAAGCTCAGCTGGACTTATTCTTACTTTACAGGAAAAGAAAAAAATCCAACAGGTAAAAGGATCAGGTTGCCTTTTCCAAGTTTCTGCGTAGAGGGAATTTTTAGCCTTAAGTTATAAATTCCAGAAAATAGGAGTTTATAAGGGAAACACTGACAGAACCTTAATTACGGAAAAGCAAAGGGCAATGCTGCAATAGAAAGGAACAACCCCTGAGATGAAATGCTTAATCTCTGAGTGAGATGTGGCCTAATAACTCACCAGGAGAGCAGTGTGATGATTTAGGTCCTCACTTGGAGCCGGCTGTTGCATGTCCTTTATGAAATTCACTGTCACCTTCAAATGCTTCCTTACAGACTAAACCGCACTTCACTCTGGACCAAGTAGAAAAGAAAGCCCATGAAGAACCAATTCATGGCAAGTTGCTTTTGGGCAAAAGCTGTTTTCCAACACGTGTATCAGAAATTCGGAGTCACTGGAAAGGACAAAGAGGGATCCTTAGGTCCAGTCTCCCCATCTGCTGCAGATAAAACCTAAGCCACCTGTCACAGAGTGGGAAGGTGGCCCGATGTTCATTTTTTCAACTGAAGGACAGTTCACATCCTCCCTTACAAACTCCGTGCTAGCTCTGAAGTCAAGAATTTGTTACGTGAAACCCAGTTCGTATTTGCCCCAGTCTTCCCCTCTTCGTCTCATCCCAATCTCTGTGAACATGAAGTGTCCTCTGTAAACATACTTAGAACACTGGGAGAAATTCATGAAACTCATCCTTAGCTCTCTCTGCCAAATAATTTCAAGCCCCTTAATACTTAGTAGTACAGAGAAGGGTCAGTTTCTTAATCTTTTTGTTTCAGTTTGGTTTTGTTTTTCCTTGGAATCTTCTTGGCATTTCCACGTTTCTCTTATTTCAATTCATCATGGTGACCCATGCATCTGACACAGTGCCTAGCCTATAGTTGATATCTAGTGATGGTTTTTGAGTAAAAGAATAAATGTCAGGAACTACACAGTAGCTGCTCAGGTATATATTAAACAACAACAACAATAAAAAACACAATTAAAGAATAAGAAAAAGTCTTCTTGCATTATAAATAGCCCTTTCCTAAGCATCAGTTTCTTTGATTTAAATCTTATCTAAAATACAATTAATTCACTGTCTTTTTTGGTTTAAATGTTATACCGAGACATGCAAAACATACATCTGTCTGGCAGCAGTATTATGACACAGAGAAGTCACATTCTATACCCAACAAAGCAATGTTCGGAAAGCTTATGAATTAGCAATGGTCACTGATTTACTCCTAGGAAAGCAAAGTGAACAGATGTGAGGCAGTGCCTTTGTAGGCAGGTACGAAAAGCATCCCATTCTCACTCAAGTCAAGGGCCTAGGAATCATTTATTTGCAGCAGTTTGCCCGGACTCTGAAGTCATGACTTTGAATGTTTTGGCTGGTCAGCTCCAGACACCTTTTGATACCAAAGACTTATTTAAGAAATACCCGAAAGACAGAGATATAACCCACCATATTTCAAATTCATACTGGAAAAGGAAATGATAAGAGAAAGCAGGAAGCAGAGAGGCCTCAGGGACAGCATGCTAAACTTGGACTTATCCCAGATGGTTATTTTCCCATTTCCTTTCCCCAAATAAAGAGACTCCTAGGTTTGTGTTGACTTAAAAAGGAAACTTCCTTCTGAGCCCACAGTGAACTTTATAACCAAACACCAGAACTAACCAACTCTCTCAGGCTTTCTCCAGGGGGAAAAAAAAAACTGCCAGTACTCTCCTCAGAGAAAGTTGTCCTCCAGCTAGAATTTGGGGAAACAAGAAAATGTAAAGGTCACCTATACTGTATCACTGATGGATACAACTCAGAAATGAAAGATACCATATTCCTTATCAATCTGAATCTGAGACACTGAATAATCCTGGAAGAAAAAACACCAAGAGGGTAATCGTCAGTTAGTTGACTACATGACTGCATATATTAACATGGCATTTCACCTGATTTTAGTCAGGAGCACTTGTTTTTATGTTCATTTCTCTCATATAGTATTTTACTTGGATATACTTTTATGCAATATCTTTTAAATTTCTATTTGCATACTTTTTTGGAAACACTGAAAGAAAGGATAGTTTATTTTCAAACCCTAGCCAAGCACTGACGAAAGAAAGAAAGAAAGAAAGAAAGAAAGAAAGAAAGAAAGAAAGAAAGAAAGAAAGAAAGAAGAAAGGAAGAAAAGAAGGAAGCAAATGAGAGAGGACTAAAGGGAAAAAGGAAAGGTGGAAGGAAGGAAGGAAGGAAGGAAGGAAGGAAGGAAGGAAGGAAGGAAGGAAGGAAGGAAGGAAGGAAGGTAGGTTGGTTTAAAATTATTTTTATTTTCATAGAGAAACTGTAAGTAGTCTTTTGCTTGATTCTTTTATATGGTAAATTGTTTCTGACTGGAACAAATTAACAGATGTTTGAAATGTTCAAATTTCAAATGCAGATAGATGAAAAAAATCAGAGTTTCCACAATTACTATAAGTTAAAAGCCAGGGTAAAATATGCCCAACTACGACTAAGGTGATCAATTTTCCAAGTTAGCTATAAAGATAGACACAGACATAGAAACACACATACACACACATATACATATACATATACATATACATATACATATACATATACATATACATACCCATCTGTGTTTATGTATGAAACATTTACAGCAGGTATATATTAAACGAGGCTTGCACCCAGAATACGGGATCCATCTCTGGCGATAAAAATTCCAAAATTTGTGGTGTTTTTATATGCTTTGTACATTAAATTCAAGATTAAATGTGATAGACTTTTTGTGCCATATCATACTGTATTCCAAGGTAGAACATGAAATCTTTCTATTTTGATCCAAAGTGCATCTGCATTATGGTCATTGATGATAATAGAAGCTTTGTGAACAAGAACCTCAATGATTATTATATTTTTATCTTTCTTCACATAAATGTTAATGATCATTTGGGGAAAATAGCTAAATTCACAAATAAAACTATATGAGGGTAGCTATGTAGTTTAATTTAATGAAAACAGACACAGTAGTAAAAAGCCTTGTTTTAAATAAAGGTAAAGCATTAACCACATTATCTGACTTGATTACAGCAATGGTAGAATCCTCAGGATCAAACATGAAATCTGAGCTGGGTGTTGATAGCATCACGTTCGGAAGCTTAAACTTGGATGACATTTTGCAGATCAGCCACCTGCCACTCATGCTTCCCAATACCCCTGTTCAAACTTGCTTGCAAGACTCACACATGCGTTAAGCCTCCAAATCTTGAGAAATAATCAGTGTGCCCCAGGCATTAAACCTGTAAACTTCTTTTAACCTTTCCATTAAATATCAGTCCCCTTAGTTTGATTCTGGCAGGTGACCTGGGTAAAGATTTTAATGTCCATTAGATGCACACACATTTTTTTGTGTTCCATCGATAATGCTTGCTCACTGTTGGTAAATGCCAAACACATCTGGGAGAAGAATTCTGAAAACAATTAGACAGCCTGAAAAGTTCCAACAATAAAACAGAACTCTTTACATTGCAAAGCCAAACAAATAACTCGGGCAAGTGTAATTGAATAAATCCGGGGCTTCAGTGCAGATGGCTGTTTTTACTGTCTGTCTATGTCGGGATCTGCCGAAGGTTCTTTAGTTCCTGTGCATGTGTGTATGTGTGTATGTGTGCGTGTGTGTATGTAGAGGGCTTTTTTTATATGAGATTTGGCATATTGCATGTGGCAGGCTGTTGAAAAATGAATAAAGACAGGAGAAAAAAGGCAATGCACATCCCATTGGTAATGAAGGAAAGCGGGTTGCTGACTGCCCATGTGCCAGTTCTCCAGGTTTGCCCAGGGGCTCCCAAGATCATTTCTTTGCCCCCAGATTTTCATGTTGAATTATCACTCACAATCTCTAAGTGAACATGCCTCTTATTTTATTTAAGACACACTGGGCACTTGTATTTGACTTCCTGCTAGGCAATACAATATTTTATTTAGCATTTGCTGCATACACAAATGGCAAGAGATGAAAAAAATGGCCTTATAAGCATAATTTTAATTTTTTTTTTTGTTTGGTTTTACAAAGAGATATCTTTGAAGCAAGCTTTCAAGAGGCAGACATCAAGGGAAAAGCATTTGTTCTCTGCTGTTTTTGCTTGAGAAACTCTGACCACAGAAGTCTACAAGGATTCATCAAGAGCTTTAGGCTATGGCCTCATGGCTTTGGCCTGAGGCAGAGCTGGGGGCTAAGACCTTTTCATGTGGGGGGTAAAGAATAAAGCAGGAACTCATCACGTCTGGACTCGTACAGCTGTTCTAACTGGTACCCAGAAGCCTCTCCCTCTAAGATGTGGCTCGACTGTTCCTGTGCTGCTGTTAAAATAGAAACGAGCAGCATCATAACTTATTTGTGACCCACTTAGAAAAAAATTCAGATTAGTCTACAATGGTCAAAAGGAATTTTGTTGAGAAGAACAAAAAATTCTTTCTCTTAATGTAATAGCTAGAAGGAATATAGGTTGAAATAAAGAAAAAAAATTTTTTTCTTAATTTGTGAATGTCACACTTAGCTCAAATGAGAACCTATCTTTTGCTGTGATCGTCCTTTTATTATTATTATTTATTTTAAATGTTTTTCTCGTGAGGCATGGCTTTCCATAATACAGAAATCATTTTTAAAATAAAAAATCTGCATATCTAGATAATAAAGTCCTATCTCTTTTTATTTCTTTAGTTCCAGCAAGAACTGCAAAAAGAATCTACAGGGCTGCTTATTTGTTAAGTGCTTCTTAACTCATCTCTGACCCAAAGGATGCTCTTGTCAGAATCCAGGCCTATCAATAATTAATGGTGTTTTTAGCTTTTGATCTCTAGCTACAACATTTTTATAAATTTTATTATGTTTTTTTTTAGGATCCTATTATGACTCTAACCACCTGCAAAATAGAGGGAGAGGATACCCGACAATTTCCAGAAAATGCTGTAACCTTTAAGTGGTAACAGTATTCCTGGAATGTTTTTGTCTTTTTGTGTTTTTGCCCTTTTCTGACTTCCCTTGCCCCATTCCCCCAAGAGAATAGTAGCTTTAATAAACATGGTATAAGAGAATGAAAGCATTTAACACAATAACCACTCAAAAATATTTTCAGTGAAAGTATGTGCTCCCTTTCAAAGTCCACATTTTTTGTAGAGAAAAACAAATTCCTAGAAAACAATTGCTGAGGAACAGTCTATTGCTACTAAAAATACACTCAGCTGAAGGTAGTAGTGGGTGTAGGCTAGGAAACCATCTCTCAGCCACCCTGAATCTGCACCTTAAAATGCGTGTGCTATCCC